AGTGGGATTAAGAATATAACTAAGACAGAAGTAAAAGCTAAATAAAAGGGGTAAAAAATCACGGCAAGTAAAACATAAATTGTTGTGCACGAGATTTGCTTGCAGAAAGAACCAATGGTCTCCTGTAGGGAAAGCCCTTCTAGTAAACGTGTCTCTAGTGGGCGTACGCGTTCCTCTGGTAAACACCTCTTTGATGGACGCTCCCATGAAAAACGCTCCTCTGATGAACAATCCTTTAATAGGAACTTTATGGCAACGGTTAAAACGCACAGATATAAATCAATATTTAACGGTAATGTAACTATCCAAAGCGAATATTTGAAGATATTGCTTCCATCAATAATTATATCCTCCTCAACTTTCCTATTCCTCTCAAAGATCCCAAAAAACGTAAAGAAGAACATCCACACCAACAAAAGGGGAATCCAACCCCATCCTGAGTAACTAACACAGAGAATCACTGTGACTATCAGCGAAAACGTGAATCTTCTAAAACATTTTTTCATTAGACCTTTTGTTGCCGCGATGAATGTGGTGTGGAAAATGTATGAAAGTGCCATTGGACTATCAGCTATCTTGTAGTAATAACTTTCCTCCTGCTGTGATAATAGATAATTCACCACCAAAGGAAAACCAATATAAAGAAAAAAAAATACCACGGCAATTTTTATGTAGCGTTCGGCATGTTCAAGTATAATTGACAAGTAGTCAGCGCAAATTGTCAGCTTTCCGTCATCCACCACCCTACAGCAGTTGTATTGTCTCACGTTTTTCTCATCTCTATGTAGACGGCATAACTTATAATCATGAACTTCGTCTAAACGAAAGAGCTCGTGCAGCAGAAAGTCAAAAACAATTTCAGATCCATTGGTTCCTTTTGGCAAACATCCGTACTTCTCCTCTGTAACCATAATATTCACTTTTTCGATACCAGCTTTGAGTGTGGTTAGGTGATAAGATCGCGTATTAAAAAAACTGGAGGTGTTAAATGCGAGGCTTTCTTTTGCAATTAGTGAGATTATTGTTCGACCAATTTCGCTTGCCCAAGACCATTTGAGTTTGGGGTAATCCTTATTTGAACTGATAGTTACTTCAATATCTACGACATTGGTAGTATCCTTATGCATAAGATTGAGAATTTTCTCGATATCTGACTCATTAATTTGAAGTTTGACCTCGTCATTTCTGCAGATGGTGGATTGGTTGGACGTCAGATTGGAGGTTATCATTTGCTCGTCGATGGAAACATTTTTACTTCCTGGTGAAGATGTTGGATTTCCTTGAGCAAAACCAGCCAAATAAGGGACAAAACAAGCTGCGAACGCGAGTTTCACAAGTAAAGTCATCTTGCATCGACTTGCCGGTAACTTTGAAATCTGCACATAAAAAATTGAATGAAAAATTAGTTGAGAAACAGATTTTTAAATCTTCCAGATTCGGGGTGTTATGATATGGTGCCCACTGCCCCAAGATTATTGTAGGATTCAAACGCTCTTCCGGTCCTTTGTTAATTTCGGTACGTTGTTAATTAATGTAAATTATTAGCATAATTAATGCTAAAGGCTTAAGTTAGTGCACCCAGAAAGCATGTACTGTAGATACCGTTAATCGGTCCTCGAACGAGAAACTCAACAAGAATTATAGAGCATATATAGAACTTTCAACTTTTTACTTTATCAGAGGACATAGTTGTGAGTAATCGGACATTTTCTTGCTTTGTATATATGTTTGTAAATATGTTTACTTAGATTTGTTACTTATAGTTTAGTTTTGTTTATTTAGTCAAACCATATTAAATCAGAGTTTGGGCAATGCATCTGATGAAGGGAACATAATATACGACTACGATTCAAGTTCTAGAATTATAACCCCCAAAGTCAGAGTCCAGGCTACGCATCTTTACATTATGTTGATTGCATGAGGTGTTGATAAGATCGAAAGCAAAATATTGTCATAGTTCAGTTCATGCGCAACGACTTTGCGCAATTGGTTTATATCGGATTATATATTGGTTTATATCGCTCGTGTACATTGAGTATAATCTAAAAGTGAAGTCAAACATGGAGGATCATGAAGGCTGCTGGGTACCGAACCAGACAATTTTGAGAAACAAATCAGCACGTTTGGCAGATTAAACTAGAAAAGAACTCCACAAAATTTTCGAACAATTTGATCTAAAAATCACAGCCGAGGAAAATCTGCATGTCGTAAACTTTTTAGACGCGATTTTCGATCTTTATTTCGGAAAGTATAAACCTTATCGGAGGCCCAATGACGATCTGACATACAAGAATACAAGATAACAGACAAACATTCCAATGGCGATACCCCAGATACCCCCAGCAATGCGTATAATAAACGCATATTATCACTCTCGTCTGACGAGCAATAATTTAATGACGCAGCACCTATTTACCAAACTCACTAAGGCACAGCAGTTATAGACATAAATTAGACTACATGAAACATGCACCACAGCCACAAACTGCAACGTCCTTTCAGTAAGAGTGCGATGTTGGCCGCAGCTTCCTAAACCTGCTAGACAAACACTTTCCACCTAGCCACAAGCTGCATAAGATCTTTAATATAAAAACACTGTTAACGTGAGCTACAGTTGTATGAACAACGTGAAGTCCGTAGTCACTAAACACAATGCATGCACGTATAATTAGGAACAATCAGTCGCACAGTATAACCGCAGACAGCTGCAACTGCACCACTAAGAGCAAATGCTCCCTATGAAATCAGTGCATGAGGAAGAACATAGTATATAAGGCAACTGTCACCACTAGCAATACAAACAACAGAGAGCAATGCATCGGCATGACCGCAAACACATTTAAAGAGCGATACAGGAATCATATTAAATCGTTTCGACACAAAAGGTATTCAAATGACACTGAAATTTCGAAACATATTTGGCAATTGAAAAACAACAACAAAGATTTCAACCTAACATGGTCAATTGTAAAACGCGCAGTTGCGTACGCGGGAGGATCAAGGCCAATTGGTTAATTAAACGGAAAGTATCTTAGAAATGCATACATTCCAATATAACCAGGGAGCAGCGTGGCAGTGTCTTCAAACAATTCAGCATCAAATGTGGTATAACAACTGCCTAAAATAGACAAAACACTTCTCGGCGTTTCCCTCGCATACATTGCTTGAACGCCCACCCACCCACATTTCGATCAAAACTACTTAAGCGGTATCATTTCGTTATTTGTCTACCACCTGAAGATTCCTATACGGATAAAACAGACTGAAGATTCCTATACGGATGAAACAGACTGTAGTGGACAGTTTTGATTGAAGGGTGGATAAACCAAAGTATATAAGCCGAGGTTTAAAAATACACCTACATCTTGCGTGTTTTTACTTGGTACTTCTATTTAATTAAGCTATTAATTTACTCAGCTTATATAGTTGTTCAATTCATTATCCGCCGTTTAAAGCTAAACACCTTTTGAACCGGCCCCTGTCTGTTAACTTCCAATATAACTTTGAGACCGTGACAGACAGTGAGAACTTATCCTTTTCCCTATACCAAAGGCAATGCGCACTGAATTAATGATTCAAAAATTCCTACCAACTGTCAAAAAATACGTAAACACTGCAATAATTGTGCCTTAGTGAGCAATATATAATTGACGAGACGAACTTGGGCAAGCGAAAGATAGCTCGTTTTCTAGTTCGTCCATGTATAAACACAGGCAAACAGACCGACCATCCGTTGAACAGGAATTATCCGTGAATGGATAGTTCGTCTTGACGCAAGCTTTTCTACCTACGCTCCACGACCCACGCTGCGGTAGAAAAGGCTGGCTTGCGAGGTTGGGTTTGATGCATCATCCGTCTTTTAGTGTAAATACGGGGTGGGAACGAACTACGAAAAATTCATCATAAAACAGCTCTTGCATGGCACTCTTTTTACCACATAAATAATTTCCCAATCCCGTGCACTTTCTAAACGCGCGATTCTGTTTTGTTTGACATAAATTATTCGTCTACATAGTTCGTCTATAGTATAAATTGGGGGCCAATTTATCTTAAGATATATTAAATGGGGACGAACATGAAGAAACAGATTTTGGACAAGACATTCAAATATGTTTATTTGAGTCGAAAATGTCACTACTGAGGAATTCAAATGACAATATAGTCATCAAAAGAAAACATGCACTTATGCGTTGAGAGCAATGTAAGTATAACATTAACGAACATATGCATGAATAACGAAATGACATGATAACCATGATTTCAGTGAATCTTTGCTACATGAAATAAGATATTAAGCCGAATTAAACAACTTCGAAAACACAAAAAAGCAATTCGTAGGTTAAAATCGCACGAAGTCACAGTACGGGGAATTTATATTGTTTTTATATAAGTCAAGATAACTGCATGACGAAATAGTAACGATGTCAACTTACCTTCATGTGCGAGATGTAAGCTTGATTGAATATTGGTGCAAAACAGTCACACAGCAATTTATCTCCTGTTCCAAAGATCTAGTTGAGATTATTCGTGAAATAGCTGCAGAATTAAAGGTCCTATATATATTCAGTGTTCATAAAGCGTTCACTTTAAAACATCAAATTTTCTTTATAATTCTAATGTACTCATTGCGGGGACTCTTTCATATTTCAATGCAAGTTCTTCAAAGGAATTATCGGAATGTTTTAGTTTTATTTTCGTATCGTCGGCATGAGCTACGTAAACAAATGCTTGACCATGCAGCTGCGTGTGTTTGGCTCCTCGCTGCCACAAATTCATTCTTTGCGGCGTATACTTCAAAGGAATATTCGAGGATAAAGACCCGTTTACACTACACTCGATTTATTGGCGCGGCACGGCTAATATGGGTATGCCAATAAATTTAGTGTAGTGCATGTAAACGGGGCTTTTAAGACATATGGGGACGAATTGTTGCAAGACCAAGAATATCTTAAAACACATCTTTTCAACTGGTTTCTAAATAGTGCATGCATATATGATATATTTGGTTTTAGCAGTTTTTTGACATTTCAATAGTTTAATTAACATTAGATTTCATACTATTGATGCGCTATATGAAAATGTTTTTACTTATTAGTAGCTACATAAGTTACAGTAATTAATGTGGCTTTTGTAAAATTGTAACCGCAAGTAGCCATGCAATTGTAAGTTACTTTTAAGCGTGATTCGCAATTGTAACTATATAGAAAAATTGAATAGTAAAGCTTTCATCATTACATGAACAACTGACTTGACCCATGCAGTTAAAAATAACTATGTAGATAGATATAGTGCATGTATATGTCCTTTATAGCGAACAGTGGCGCAACGCACAAAGTAGGGACAAGAACTAATGTCCCGCTGTCATGCGAGACTGGTATGTTGTCTACACTAAATGTAGAAAATAAATAATGAAACATCGTGATGATGGTATGAGTAAAATGATTACTAGCAAAGAGGGCCCCACAATATACCTAACTGCATGCCCATGCAACTTTCTCCGTTCCGCCACTTCTTTCAAAAACAATTGTAGTTTCTATATATAATTATTATGCATCAAGAAAACGTTTAATCGCGAACTATGTGACAAACGGGGAAAAATGGGTGCAAAAATTAAGAATCAATCTGCACTAGATCTAATTTTTAATTTTTCAAACAGTACCTGATTTTCACTGTTCTGTTCAATTTGTGGATTTTGACTATTCACACATTTGAACTATTCAAAGATTGATAAAATCTTTTCATAATCGGATTAAAAATAAAAAAAACGTCACGCCAAGTATTATTGTCGATGTCTTCTACACGTCTTTCGTGTACTCTGATTCTTATTTCGGTGTCATATCTCGCTACTAGAGTCAGTTGTCCTTTGATATTTCGCTGTTGCTCAATGTTATAGGCGTTCTTTTGTTCAAAAGTATCTTCAGTCCATAAGGTGTCGAAGATAAACGGCAATGTGCTTGCTGCAATCGTGCTTATTATTTGAACGGGTCCTGAGATTTTGGAATTTTGAGCTAATAACATCATGACCAGAACGACGACGAAGAAACTTGCAACAATAAATATTTTAGCGAAGAAATGGAACAATAATCTGTGAAAGGGCAGGTTTAATTTTCTTATTTCTTTGTATAGAGCTTTTGGGACTTTACCATCTTTAATATTAAAATCAAATGTCCCAGGTTGAATTTCTTCATCTGGATTTGCTTCATTATTTTTATTTTTCTCCCACATTTCTTTGCATACTTCGTATATGTTCGTTTTAAGAACCAGATACTTCGCTTCGATTGACCATCTCCAGTGCTTCAGTGAATAAATAACAACACCCATGATTGCCGTGAAGTATGGACTAAAAAATTGTCCATTAAGATAAATACCAGCCATCCACGCCAGCATCATATTCAAGAAAGAAGCAAAGGCGTTTATGCACCAAATTGCTACCGCTGGTGCAAATAGTTTGGGAACATTTATATACAAAGGAAAACTTTTGATTTGAGTATACGGCAGAATATAAAATGTTCCAACCAACACCGCAAAACCCGATGAAAGTATAGACAAAAAGCTAACAGTACAAAACAAAATAGGAAAGAAACATATGCAAAGAATCTTTTTCCAACGAGATTGGCTCTGATCAAACGTCAAACATTTCGACCAGAGATTCACATTAAATGGAGAAGTGATGGTGAGTATATAGTCGTCATACTCATCGTCCTCAACATCTTTTCCTATTGAAAAAATGTCCCATGGCGCGAGAAAAACTAAAGACCCAGAAATTGCTTGAATAGCGACGGATGAAGTACTAATGATATGCAATAATGCAGCTGTAAGCAGGAAGAAAAATCTTCTGGCGAAAGATTTTACTTCACCATGTCCTTCAATAAAGAGAGTATATAAAATTGTTTTAAGTGCTAGTGGGCTGTCACTAATTTCATATTTTTTTTTCTCGCCTGTTCTCTTATCACGCGCATTCATAACACGCAAATATTGAATAATTAATGGGAGACCAAAAAAAACAATGACGCATGTAATGATCGTTATGCATTTACCAGCTTCATCAATTGTATCCGAAATGTAGTCGACGTCACCACAAACGGAAAGCTCCCCACTAGTTATTCTGCAACAGTTATACTGTTTGAGACCGTCCTCGTCAGCATGAGGGCGACATAACTTATAATCATGAGTGTCGTCTGAATGAGAAAGCTGATGTAGGAGAAAGTCGAAAACAAGTTCAGATCCATCACTTCCTGTTGGTAGGCATCCCTCAATTTCCTCAAAGACAGCAACATTCACCTTTTCGATCCCACGTCTTAAGGTAATAAAGTTCAGACTACTGGGTGGAACACCTAATATCTTAATAAAAGGTCGTGCAATCAAAGAAATGATTGTTCGACCAATTTCGCTGGCCCAAGACCATTTATATTTAGGAAAAGATCGCGTTTCATTCTTGGAATGGATTGTCAATTCCATCTCTACGACATTGGTAGTATACTGAAGCATCAATCTAAGAATATTCTCGATGTCCGACTTCTTAATTCGAAGTTTGATCTTCTCGTCTCCGCAGTTTATCGATGCGTTTGTCAGATTAGCAGTTTCCATTCGTGAGTCATTTGAAACATTTTTACCTCCTGGCGAAGATGTTGAACTCTCGTGGGCAAAGCCAATTGAAGCAACGAAGACGACAAAAACTGCGAACCTAAGATACACACAATCAGTCATATTGATAGGATTGACTTACGGTATACCAAATGCAACTTTTCGGCGTTGAATTTCAGAACCTGTAATATTGCAAAAATACTTCATTGAGATTTTTAAATTTCTTTCTACCTTTGCCTGTATACATGGGAAGCTATTGCTACTCACCAAATTGTGCTTTTCAATCGTACTTTGGTCAAATAATATAATAATAACAATAAAAACTTTATTTCAAGAGGCTTTTTCCTACATGCAATTGGATTAGAAATTTAAAGGGTGCCTAGGCTATAATGGAATTGTTTAAGCAAATAGATTAAAAAAATTGATTGAAAAAAAACAATATACAAGGGGGGGGGGGTCAAAAGTCTAAGACTCTGAGTCCAGTCGATAATTTTTCTAATTTACAATAAATGATACCTTGTGAGTTGGAAATTGAATATGTTGATCTGAACTTGCGTATTTTATGATAGTAGAGCCTCCCATAGATTTCTCGTTAATTCCCATGGTATTTAAGTTGAATAATGGTCCTTTTTGTGGACCAAAGATGGTAAATAGAGGGCCAACAATGATGGGATGTCTCAAAAATTGCAAGAAATGAACCGTTTCATTTAAACGAATACAAACCTGATTCATAAAACGTCTCCAACTTTTCGTTCGACACATATAACCTCATCTCAATTTCTCGCAAATTTTCGAAACATCCCATCATTGTTGGCCCTCTCTTTGCCATCTCATTGTTATATAGCTAATAGCCATATTATTATTATTTGTGCATAAGATCATCGTATTACATATTTTGTAAGCGAAACAAAGAGTGAGATGTAGAAGATGTCCCTGAAGTCTTTGCGTTATTTGTGTGATTTATCATGATTATGTGTTGAACAATATATATATGTTATCTAACAGTTTGGAAGTCCTTACCAAAGTCTCAAAAGAGAGACCGAGGGAAATATTTCCCTATACGGACCGACTAAACTGGTAAATAATAGATTTATTTTTTTTAATCAACGCCCCTCGTGCGTGCGTGCGTGCGTGCGCGTATAAAGAGGGACATTTTGCAGGGCGTGTGAAGGGATAAAGATGTCAATTATTATAGCCAGGTTTGACTGTCGCGCTAAATTAATATAAATGCCTAATAGAAATACATAAGAGATGCCTGCGGAAGAGCTGTTCGAATGTTCAGAGTTTCATTTCTGAATCAGTGCATTTCAAAAACCAGCAGCATATTGAAACAAAAAACGAAAGTGAAAGAAACTAAAATGCAAGTAAATATGGGAACCAAAAAAACAACTCAAGTATCCCGCAATTTCTTGTCACAACTGCTTTGCGTTTGGAAAAGTACAGTGCATATACCACGAGCTGTCTAAGCACTGCCTTCAATATTTATGCTTCAGTAAAATAAGCTTCATGATCGCCAATTTAACACTACGCAGAGATATCTAAAGTATGTATCAACGATGTATACAAATGTTTAAATTACAGACGTCACGTATCAAACAGCGTGCGTTAGGGGTGTGTAAGGAGTGTGTGTGACACATCTATATCTTTTCAGATTCGTCGCCTTCGTCGGTAAACAGATACTGATATTTTCAGCAATCAACAAAAGGACATGAACTGATATTTTCAGTAATTTGTGATCAATGAAATCGGACGAACATGAACAACAGTGACCGTTCAAAATATAACTATAAGCAAGAGAATAGTAGCTATACTAAATTATAATACGAGTAATCTTAACAAACGAATTAATAGCACATGATGTTACAATGATTTTATTAAAAATGTGCTGCATTGTAAACGTTTTCTACGTAAATTATGCTACGCGACTATGTTCACAGGCCCAGTTGAACAAATTTGAAAAGGCATATATGCATGGAAGTGATACCGAAATGACTCAAGCGCTTTTCAAGCTAAAAAGTTAGGCCAAAACGTTTTAATAAGAGAACTGACAAAATAGTCGATAAATACTTACCTTTATACACGTAACGCCGATGTAAGCGTGATGAATATTTGTACAATACAGTCACACACAAATGTTTGTTCTTTTCCCCCAAAGATCCAGTTTACGCTATTCGAGAATAAGCTGTGGCTTTAAAGTCTATAACTATATGTCTTTTATAGGCAAGACTTTCGAAAACAACGCAGTTTCGTTAAAAACAATTGTGCGTAGGTTCATTTCAAAAACATCAAATTTTCTTTGTAATTCTATAATACACTCATTGCGGGAGGTCGTTCTTATTTGAATGCTTTTTTTTCCATCGGAATCATTGGTATGTTTTACTTTCATTTTCGAATCATCTGAGTCACGTATAAGCAAGTGCAAGACCATGCAGCTCTATGTGTGTTTGATGTACTTTCTATTGAGCTCATGCATGCTGGGATACATAGTGCATGTATACATCCAGTTTTTTTTCAAGAAATATTATGATTTAATAAATTCTCATTGCTAACATAGCTATATTGCTATAGAATATTATTGCATGACTGTGTATGCATGAGTATTTGACGCGCTGAGGGGGTGTGTTAAGAGTAAGCTTTGGTTAACTTTCTAAATACAACTTTGAATCAGACCGTGAGAACTTATATTGACTGTCTTTCACCATTAGCCATTATATTGACAATTCGAGAAATTTCGTATAACTGTCAAAAACTACGCTACAATAATATAGTTGTAGCTACTTTAGCGACCATAGCGTCCTACTAGACTAAATTTTATATATTATGAAATTTGATAGCCCCCAATTCCCGGTATTTGGATATTGATTCCAAGAAATGAGACGTGTAGCAAATACACTAAAATAAAAACATCTGTAAATCTTAGGTTCTTATATTTTTTTTACAAATTTAAAAGAATGGCCTTTAAACAGACAATTAATAGTTGGCCTTTCAAATATGTTCGTTTCAGAGAATAGTATATTATATGAATTAAAACAGACAATTAATAGTTATTGTCAAAAACGAAATGAAAGTAATAATCATATGATCTCAGTATATATCTTATATATATAATACAACAATAATAGGCCTTGGCAAACCATTATTTCATATGAAGCAGATTTAAACGGCACAGGTTACAGTTTACGAGTGATATGCATGGTTATTTGATTGTTCAAAGCGTTTTTAAACCCAGTTACAAAGACTTACGTTGACAGCGCGGTGATGTATTAAGCTTGCGTGAATATTGGTGTACATTCAATCTACGGGCTCTTTTTGCCACTGATTTTTTCTCGTTCTCCCAAACTACCACGCGTGTTTCTATAACTGCATAGAAACACGGGAAATGTTTTCTATTTCTTTGATAGCACTGGCTTATTCTTCACTTAGCTCGAATGGTCAAAGTTTCATTTCTGAATCAGTGCATTAACTGCATTTCAAAAACAAGCAGCAGTTTGAGACAAAAAACGAAAGTGAAAGAAACTAAAAATGCAAGTAAATACGACAACTAAAAAAACAACCCAAGTATCCCGCAATTTCTTGTCACAACTCCTTAGCGTTCGGAAAAAGCATATCCTTTTGTTGATTGCTGAAAATATCAGTTATCTGTTTACCGACGATTCTGAAAAGATAGGTGTGTCACACACACCCCTGACGCACGCTGTTTGATTCGTTAGCTAACGTGTCCGTAAGTTATACGTTTTTATACCATTTAGATATATCTGCGTAGTTAAATTCGCGATCGTGCAGCTCATTTTACTGAAGCACAAATATTGAGGGTGAACTGATATTTTCAGTAATTTGTGATCAATCAAATCGGACGAACGTGAACAACAGTGACCGTTCAAAATATAGCTATGCTTGCATGCTTGAAGAGAATAGTATACTAATTTATAAAACGAGTAATCTTAACAACCAAATGGCACATGATGTTACTGGCAATAATTTTGTTAAAAAATTACTGCATTGTAAACGATTTCTACGTAAATTATGCTACGCGCGACTATGTTCACAGGCCCAGTTGAACAAATTTGAAAAGGCATATATGCATGGAAGTGTGCTTTTCAAGCTAAAAAGTTAGGCCAAAACGTTTTAAGAGAACTGACAAAATAGTCGATAAATACTTACCTTTATACACACAGCGGCGATGTAAGCGTGATGAATATTTGTACAATACAGTCACACACAAATGTTTGTTCTGTTCCCCCAAAGATCCAGTTTACGCTATTCGAGAATAAGCTGTAGCTTTAAAGTCTATAACTATATGTCTTTTATAAGCAAGACTTTCGAAAACAACGCAGTTTAGTTAAAAAGCAACAGTGCGTAGGTTCATTTCAAAAACATCAAATTTTCTTTGTAATTCTATAATACACTCATTGCGGGAGATCTTTCTTATTTGAATGCATATTCTTCATCGGAATCATTGGTATGTTTTATTTTCATTTTCGAATCATCTGAGTCACGTATAAGCAAATGCAAGACCATGCAGCTCTATGTGTGTTTGATGTACTTTCTATTGAGCTCATGCATGCTGGGATACATAGTGCATGTATTCATCCAGTTTTTTTTCAAGAAGTATTATGATTTAATAAATCTTCATTGCTAACATAGCTATATTGCTATAAAATATTATTGCATCAGCATGACTGTGTATGCATGAGTATTTGACGCGCTGAGGGGGTGTGTTAAGAGTAAGCTTTGGTTAACTTTCTAAATATAACTTTGAATCAGACCGTGAGAACTTATATTGACTGTCTTTCACCATTAGCCATTATATTGACCATTCGAGAAATTTCGTATAATTGTCAAAAACTACCCTACAATAATATAGTTGTATAGCTACTTTAGCGACCATAGCGTCCTACTAGACTAAATTTTATATATTATGAAATTTGATAGCCCCCAATTCCCGGTATTTGGAAATTGATTCCAAGAAATGAGACGTGTAGCAAATACACTAAAATAAAAACATCTGTAAATCTTCGGTTCGTATATTTTTTTACAAATTTAAAAGAATGGCCTTGAAACAGACAATTAATAGTTATTGTCAAAAACGAAATGGAAGTT